CAAATCAAACCTAATTAAACTTAATCCTAAATTAAACCTACACCCAAATTAGGCCTCAATCAAACAACCTTTCAAATTGACAGTGATTTCGTAAAACTGTCTCTTTGCTTAGAGTTCTTAAAGATTTCAAAATTCCACATTGTCTTATGGAGAAAGGCAATAAATTGTAAATTTTTGGTCCTAAATAATTTATATACTTTAGATTTAGATTGTTGTTGCTCATTGGTAGTTGTAAACTATTTTTTGTTCTGGTACGAGTGTTATGCTTATGGTCAACAAAATGCTGCAATTCAGGTTTTTTATGCATGAAAGTGCATGCTGTCCAATATACAGGGTGTCCCACGGTGGATGGCGTATTAGACGTTTATAGAGAACTAAAAAGCGAATCATTTTGAAAATTTGGCAACCGGGATAAACGACCATGATCTACACTTTAAAAATATTTTTGACCATGCGGTGTTGCCGCTTCGACTCTAAACTAGTGGCAACATCACTATTTTAAATGGAACACCCCGTATTTAATTGCATATTTGGATTCTACGTAAAATTCTGAGCAGATTTCATGTGATATACCCTATACCTAAGTTCAACTGTTTTGGAAATATTGACAGTTGAAAATTGACTTTTTGCAACTTTGACAGGCTGTAAAACCTAATTGGTTAATTTTAGAGGAAAACCGATTTCACATTCCTATTTTAGATTTTGATAAACTATCATTTAACACCAACTTTGAACTTAACCAGAGATTAAATTTAACTGAAATTTTTAATCATGGATTTAATTCTAAGTTGGTGTCAAATGATAGTTTATAAAAATCTAAGATAGGAATGTAAAATCGGTTTTCCTCTAAAATTAACCGTTCAGGTTCTACAGCCTGTCAAAGTTGCAAAAAGTCAATTTTCAACTGTCAATATTTCCAAAACAGTTGAACTTAGGTATAGGGTATATCACATGAAATCTGCTTAGAATTTTAGGTAGAATCCAAATATGCAATTTAATATGGGGGGTTCCATTTAAAATAGTGATGTTGCCACTAGTTTAGAGTAGAAGCGGCAACACCGCATGGTCAAAAATATTTTTAAAGTGTAGATCATGGTCGTTTAACCCGGTTGCCAAATTTTCAAAATGATCCGCTTTTTAGTTCTCCATAAACGTCTAATACGTCATCCACCGTGGGACACCCTGTATAATAAATAAATAAATAAATGTTTATTGACGGACTTGCCATTTTCAAATGAGTACATAGTTCAAATTGATAAAAATAAAATTCTTAAGATTAAGACAAAATATAAATTGATAAAACACAATCACAGTGTTGACAGTAAAATTTAAAAGAAAACACAGAAATAAAAAACATCACTTTCATTATGGTAGCATACATAAAAAAACACATCAATCAACAACAACAGAAAGCACAGTTTAAAAAAGTTTTCCCTACCTAACCAATATACTAAAACTATCAACAATACAAAAAAGAAATGAATGAAAATGAGATTCAAATCTAGTTGAGGCAAATTCAACCATCGACAGCCCTACTCTAGTTCAAGCAGACTTTTTCTAAGCGTATTGCAACTTATGTTGAAAAAATCAATATCAAGCTCATTTATTACCCTATTGGCCACATTACACATTCTACACACAGGACTATTCAAACCATAGTTTGTCCTGTGAAAATCTATACCAAAAATCTCATTTTGTCTAGTTACTCTCTGAGGAATTCGAAATAGAACTTTTTCCAATAGCTCAGGACAATTGATTATGTTAGTACAGACTTTATGAAGAGTACATATATCAAACTGTGTCCTTCAGTGTTTGTAAATTGAGAAGTTTGTAGAGTTCGCCATAGTTTATATCATCAACTGGAATGCCCAACTTAAAGTTAATGAGTCTTAAGAATTTTCTTTGAACATTTTCTAAGTCATTTACATCAATGTTATAAAAAGGAGACCAAACTGGACATGCATATTCCAGTCCTGATCTAACATAGCTGCAATACAGTACCTTAAAGCAATTTACATCATCAAAGTTTGATAGTGTTCTGGCAACAAAACCCAACATTTTTAGTGCCTTATTCTTAATAAAGTTGATATGGTAATCAAATCGCAATTCATCATCAATATAAATTCCAAGATCTTTGATTTTATCGACTCTCTTCAAAAGTTGATTATTGATATTGTAGGGAAAGAGTATGTTATTTCTTTTTCGGGATATTGTCAGAACACTACATTTCTCTACATTCAACTCCATACAGTTAGCATTACACCAGGAATAAAGCTTATCAATATTATTTTGCAATTTGCGACACTCATTTTCATTTTCCACCCTCATAAACATTTTCAAATCATCAGCAAACAATAAATTACATCCAAAATCCAGAACAGCAACAAGATCATTAATAAAGACATTAAACAGTAGAGGAGCCAGATGAGATCCCTGGGGGACGCCCGATGGCACATCAATTTCATAAGATACAAAATTTTTCATTTTTACAAATTGTTTCCGATTAACTAGATAACTCTTAAACCATGACAGCATCACTCCATGAATCCCAAATAGCTCCAGCTTATGCAAAAGTATTCCATGGTGCACCCTGTCAAAGGCTTTGGAAAAATCAGTGTAAATTGAATCAACCTGACATCACTCCTCCAATGCCTCCGACAGAGCCTCACCATAGACTAGCAAATTAGTCAAAGTTGAGCGGCCCTTTACAAATCCATGCTGTTTCGTCGATAATACACTTTGAATGATAGGAGCCATTTTATCACTAATTATAGATTCAAAAATTTTTGGTGCAATACTCACTTTAGAGATAGGCCTATAATTATCAACCAATGATCTGTCACCTGATTGGAATAGCGGAGTAATATGTGAGATTTTCCAGCAGTCTGGAAAAGTACCAGTTGATAAGGATAACCTATAAACTTTTAGCAAGATATTTTACAGAACACATTTACATTCTTTGAAAAATATCACAGGCAACAAATCTGGTCCAGCCGCAAGGTGCACATTAAGGCTCCCAATTGAATTAAAAATATCCAGCAAGGCAATATCACAATTATTAAAATCAACAAATCCATCAAACCCAATAACTGGTGTTGTACAATCTTTACTTTTATACACAGACCCAAAGTGTTGAGCAAACAAATTTACAATTTTCTTAGGACACTCAGAAGAAACATCTTTATACTTCATACTATTGGGTAACTCAAAGTTGTCTTTTTTTGAGTGAACATATTTCCAAAACATGTTACTATCACTTATAATGTTATCTTGGACATTATTAATATAATTTTTGTGACATTCATTCATCAAGTTTTTACTTATCGATCTTAGGTTACAGAATTCCTTATAAGTTTCTAAGTCATGAGATTGTTTCCAAAGTTTATGTTTTTCTTTCTTATTTAATATAGTAGACTTAAGCTCTTCACTATACCAGTTTAGGAACTTTTTATTTTTAGCCTTACATTCAGGAACATACATTTCTAAACCAGTGTAAACTATATCATAAAACCTGTCCATGGCTGTATTAATACTTTCAACATTGAGAATATCATCCCAAGCAAAACTACACAAATATGAATTTAGCTGGCGATAATCAGCTTTTTTAAAATCAAAATACTCATGTTCATAAATCATGACATTAGCATCTACTTTATCTAGTGGTACATTAAAATTGATTGCTGGATGATACTTATCACAGGGTAACATTGATTGATCACAAAGTTCAACACAAACACTTTCCATATCACAGAAGACCAGATCAAGAATTGATCCCGTTGCATTAGGGAGATCATTTAACTGGAATACATTCATATAAGCAAACATATCTATAATAACAGAGGCTTGAAGTGAAACATAATTTTGAGTTGACACTCCTAAAGCGTCATTCGACCATTCTGCTCCGGGTAGGTTAAAATCCCCGCAGACAATCATACTAGTGCAACTGGATACACTTACAGCCTCTTCCAGTGACGTACAATAATCATTATATAATTCTAGTGGAGAGCTAGGTGGAAAATGTACATTACCTAACAGTATCTTACAGTTTTTAAAATACATCAACACAAAGAGGTGTTCAATATTATTATATATTAGATATGTTTTATGGTTATTAATATACTTTAATCCATAATTTTTTTAAGCAAATTTGACTCGCCATTTTTGAGTTAGATCACAGAAACTGAAAAAAAAGTGGTTTTTCACAATTTATTTTAAAACAAATAGATGAAGTTTCTCGTTATTTTCATTATGAACTACTATTGCAATTCTACCAGACATATTTTTTTCAAATTTTTTGAACATGTAGTTTTCTCGCTACTGCAAAAATAGTTGGAAATACGTCTGTAACTACACTGAAAATCCGACGGATGAACGTTCAAAATTATTAGCGTTGGTCCAAATTACAACCCTCTTTATGTAAAACAGAATAATACTTTGAATTTCCGCAAAAGAAGAAAAAACATTCCATCGCACAATTTAACCAAATGAAGATTTCTATTTTTTTTTGACTATCAAGTTAGAACACACTGTAGGGGCGACAGCATTGACATCTCGCGTTGCTGTAATAAACTATAGGCCTGACTTTAAACCTTAACATCAACCTACACAGTGCAAAAGGTATGCTATAAGTTTGGAAAAACTTGTCAGTCGAGAAGAATGCTTTTTTCATTAAAAAAGATTTCAAAGCATTGTGATACTGCTTAGTATCGTATCAACATTCCATTATAAATGAGGGACTTGGTAACCAACTGGAATGAGGAATAGGAACAGGGATTAGGGATATCAGAATTCTACTTTCCACAAAGAGCGGAGAGTAGAATCTTCTTGGGCAATTGGATGCACTTTAAAAAAAAATCGTATCTTGTGTTGCTTCTTCAAATAATTCACAAATCTCCGACTTGTTTGGAAAGACCAAGGAAATAACAAGACAGTATTTTATTTAATTCCCTTCAACATAAAATTGGTACTTTATTTCTTATATGAAGGTAGCCGCGCATACTTACCACCCATATTATGTTGCATCTGCATCCCCACGTTCGGCGGGGGCCCCGACATATTGGGAGGCGGCATTGCTAGATTAGGCGGTATCGCCAGATTAGGCGGTGGTTGCGAAAATTCCATCATTTTAAATTAATACGGTTGAATACGCGCCCGAAAATATTGAACTACACAGAATAAAAAATAAAATTAAAAAAATCAATCTTTTCTTGTTGATCACCACTTAGCAGTAGTGGCCATTTTGGAAGCAATCATTTCGGAGGATTTTTTGGAGGTTTTCAACATTTGATGAACAACTGGGTTAATTTATCGTAATTTTTTGCTTACAATGAGTGTCTATTACAGTTATTCTATTATTTTAAAAGCCTTTTAAGTTTTTATTTGGATTATTTCTTTAATTTTAATCACAACAACAGGGCACACGCTTTCTAGGCTTTTGTCATTTTTTTTTTGACATTGACAGTACACATGACAAAAAAAATGACATTTATTTTGATTGACACTTCAACGTTGTCAGACTTTCGCATTCGGGAAAATGAAATAAACGTGTGACGTCACCCTACTTGAATTTTAATTCTAACCACCCTTTTTTTGTGTTCATTTTGCTCGTCTCGTCTTTTAACAGTTAACACATGGGTAAAAAAAGTAAAGGGGCCCAATCAGGAGGCCCCTCTTTGGGGCGCTCCCTAATCAAAGACAGGTTCGGAAGTAATCGAGGCAAGAAAATGGTGTCCAACAATTCTATGGTAAGTTATTGTGCAATAATTACCAATAAGTTGATTTAATAATAATCATCTTCGATCCCTAGCTTCACACAACTGAACTAGCAGACGGCTACGAATGGGGCCGACTAAATTTACAATCTGTAACTGAAGAATCGTCGTTTCAAGAATTCCTTTCCACTGCTGAACTAGCTGGTACTGAATTTCAAGCTGAAAAGTTAAACATCAGATTCATCAATCCACGTTCCAATGTCGGACTATTGACGGAAGATGAAATGAAAAAAACCAGTGATGCCCATGAGAAATTCAAGGAGTCACTGAAAATTCCTAGAAGGCCTCCGTGGACCACAGACATGTCACCTTCAGAGCTAGATAGAAATGAAAAAGACTGTTTTCTAGAATGGCGACGATCATTGGCAAATTTGCAAGAAGACGAAGGACTATTATTAACCCCATATGAGAAGAATTTGGAATTTTGGAGGCAATTGTGGAGAGTTGTTGAAAGAAGTGACGTTGTAGTCCAAATAGTTGACGGAAGAAACCCATTATTGTTTCGTTGTGAAGATTTGGAAAAATATGTCAAAGAAGTATCACAAAATAAGACAAACCTGATTTTAGTAAACAAGGCTGATTTTTTAACTGAAGCTCAACGGCAATATTGGGCAGAATATTTTCAAAATTTGGGCCTCAAGGCAGTGTTTTATTCGGCAATGGAACAATCAGAAAAAACAATTGAGGAAGAAGAAGAAGAAACTGATATAAACAAAATTAAGGAAAATATTTCAGATTTGGCTGAATCAGTTGAACAAAATGCTGATGCTTTAGAAACAATTATAAATAAAATTGATTGTTTAATTGGAAATTCAAATTTACGAGAGGAAGTTGGCAATTTGATGGATAGAAATTCTTCAGAAATTTTGACTAGAGATGAGCTGATAGATCTTTTTAAAATAATACATAAAGGTCCTAAAGTTACTGAAGGCATCACTACAATTGGCTTAGTTGGATACCCAAATGTAGGCAAAAGCTCCACAATAAATTCCCTAATGTTAGCCAAAAAAGTTTCAGTTTCAGCTACACCAGGCAAAACAAAACATTTCCAAACTTTATACCTTGACAAAGACATTCTATTATGCGATTGCCCTGGTTTAGTTATGCCCAGTTTCGTTTTTACCAAAGCAGAAATGATTTTGAATGGAATTTTGCCCATAGATCAAATGAGAGATCACGTACCGCCAGTTAACTTGGTGACCAAACTTATTCCAAGGCATGTCGTTGAGGATAAATATGGAATTATGTTGCCTAAACCTTTAGAAGGTGAAGATCCTGATAGAAGCCCCACTGCTGAGGAATTGTTAAATGCTTATGCATATAATCGAGGTTTTATGACTGCAAATGGGCAGCCAGACAATGCCAGGGCAGCAAGGTATGTTTTAAAAGACTATATGAATGGGAAACTATTGTATTGTCATGCTCCAACGACAGTGAAGCAAGAAACTTTCCATACATGGCCTGAAAGACAAAAGATTCCTCTGGAGAATAGAGTGGTACCGCCTAGGGAAGCTCGAGCTGTTAGGGTAAGGATTTTTGTCTTAGTGTATTTAAATGGAACTTAATAGTTCTTGCAATTATGTAATTACATATTTTTTATTTATAGACTTTAAAAACTACCACGGATGATATAGATAAAGTATTTTTCAATGAAAAAACTCAAGGGGCTCATGCTAAAGGGGTTGAAGGAAAAGCTGCAGGTGTTCCAGTTCAAGGGTAAGTCTTGGATTTTTTCTGGTTGATTTTATTTCTTATAATTTTTCTATAGAGAAGCTTCTGGAAGTTTGACAGCCAAACCATGGAAAGAAGCTAATAAACATCGCAATAAGAAAAAAAAGGAAAAATTGAGGAGAGTCTACGCCCACTTGGATCAACATTAATAATTAAAATAATTGTGTAATAAAATATTTCATATTTAGGCGTACCTACATACATTTTGTTAATTAATTATAAGTTCTTACAACACTTTCTGTTAAGATAATATAATAAATTTAATAATAATATTAGATATTATAGGTATTGATGTTTTATTTAATTTATGCTTTTAGGAAAATTTCAGAAAAGGGATACGCACTTACTTACCTCTATTGGTATTATTTACCTACTTCAAAAAAACAAAAATTTGAAAAGTATGTTAAACAAAACTAAATACATATTTTACATTTAAAAAAAAAAGTATTATTTGAAAAGAGTTGCATGTGGATACTTTAAAAATATAGGCCCTTTCCTCAAAAAATTATAATTTAATTAAAAACAATACTATGCAATATAGGTCTTTGGCACTTTTCTTCAAAAGTATGCAGCACCTCTTCAATGTCGTTGTCCAAATCTTCAGCTGTAGCAATCTGTGAAAAAATATTTTTTAATTAAATTGGCACTGCTTATTCTTGTTGGCACAGTCAATAGATGAATACTTACATGCATACACAAATCGCTGATCAAAAAAGCCCCGATAGTGGCTTCCTCTAAATTATCTTGAATGTCAATATTAATTACGTGGACAATTGAATTGTCTGAAGGCTCTTTGTTTTCCATATACTCTAGAACCTGATCGTAGACTCGTTCTTCGCAAGTAATGAGAATATCAAATTTTTCTGTGGTGTCTTGAAACTTTTGCGGATGGGATTTGATTCTGCGGTTCCTATCCAGGGTGTGAAGTAATCCGTTTTGGGTGTACAAAGATTTGTCTTTTTCAGCCAAATCGTTATAAATGTGGTCGTAAGACGTGCCGAAATCGTAGACGTTGGGTCGGTCAGCGGCGGAGCCTGGAATTTTTACTTTGTCCCCAGTACCAAATGACTGTACCAGGAAGCCTTTTTTAGCTAAAAAAGCGTGAGCCTCCATGCTTCTGTTCATGTTGCTAGAGCATATCACGGCTATCCTCAAGTCGCTTACAATAGACATTATATGTCTTTAAGTATTTTTATTAAAATAATAAATAATGCAATAATTGAAGTACCTATACCTATTAGTTTTTTATTTATATTTTTAAGGGGAAGAATGAAAAAAAGTTAAAAATATTTTTGTTAGTTGTTATGTATGGTCTTTATGGAAGATGAGATAATGAGGTTAAAATTTGCGGGTGGTGTATGACGTATAGACAGAGAGCGCTATATTTCTCGAGTGCGTCCGAAATCGCCCTAGACGTGACACCGAGTGCACACCAGTCATGAATTATTCATGGCTGGTGTGCACTCGGAGGGACGCCCAGGGTGATTTCGAACGCACTCGCATTCTGTTTTTTGTAGCATTTTCAAGGCAAGGCCTACTTGACAAATGAATTGATCGACGGGAAATTATCGTTCTAGAACGGTTCTCATGTCGGTTGGAACACAGTTCCGTAGTCATTAGTTTTTGATTTAGCTTTTAGCTCATACAAAAAAACAAATCTAATAGCTTATATATTTTCGGCTTCACTGCTCCAAGTGCTCTCAAAGCAGAGCGCTCCGCTCCGTCTGGGCGTTGACGTCCCAGATCTCGGTGGGAGTGCTCCGAGAGCGATTATAATCCAATCGAGGGCACAACATTTGAAATAAATAGCCGAACGTACAGTCGTTAGCAAAAAATGGAACGTCCAACTGGCATGTCTTGTCATTTTTCGCTATTTGGGTGAATCCAATGTTTCACTCTGTGATTTTTATACGATCAGTGTATACGAACGCAATCCAGAGTTGCTTTCCAGTATGCACATTGGCGCGCTCTAGAGCACCCCGGGAGCGTTACCCACTCGATTTGTACAGTTCCTGTATCATGACGTGTGACGTTTGTCCGTACGTATAGCACGGGGGCTCAACGCTCCGAGTAGCTCCGAGCGTCACACATACTGGAAAGCGGCTCAGATTACTTCTAGGTTGCGTTCGAGATCCTGGGGGGAGATTCTAAAATCACGACTCGACAACGAGACCGACCCTGTCGTCTCGAAAGGTATGATTCCAATGAGATTCCAACCTAGAATCGTCGGAAAAATCGTCTCGTTATCGAGTCGTGTGTCGAATCGTGATTTTACAATCCCCGGGCTGGTTGTTGGTGTGAAAATTATTTCAAGGAGTGGGGGTCCAACACACTTCGGTGTGCGAATCTTGCTCTAGGTATTCGAACGGTAACCGAGTGGTTTACTTACCAAGTTAACCGTTTGTCTAATAGCGTATTTCATTGATGGAACAAGTGCAACACTGGTGCAATATTCATGATCCATGGGCAGAGTCCGCGCTGCACTTTTGTATTTCATTGGGAAAGCAAAGCACTGAGTTTTGCACTGGCTAAAAAGCTCGTGTCGCACTCAGTGCAGTTGTTGCGTTATATCTTTCTTCTCTCTCGAGTAACGAAATTTCCCCGTGACGCGTTTTTCCTCTCCATTGTCTTCCAAATATCGAAACGCCGCCTAAAGAAGTTTCACTTCAAAAATCCAAAATTGTCCAAATCTGCCACAAATCAAATTCAAAAATCCACAAGAATCCTCATCATCTAGTGCAGTTCGAATTGACTTCTTGGAACGAATGTCAAATGACTGTCGCACTGTTTTACATGGGCGCGTTCACCAGATACAAACGTTAGTAAAACGCTTCACGATTGTTCGGCTCAATGCTACGTTAATTTCCGTTGAGGAAACAAATCATGTTTTTGCAAACAATCGCCATTTTTGCAAGCATAAATAATTGGGAGTGTTTAAAATTTTCAACACTTTGTTTGCTAACATCAAAAATAATACACACCACCACTACAGGATTATGATAGCCTATCCTTTCAAGGTCTGGCTAGTTCATATATCAAGCCCCCCGACCATGCCAAAGTACCAGTGATGACGTCGCCAGCGTGTTGTTTTTCGTTTTGGCGTAGGGTGTTTGCAGCACGTCGCCAATGGTGCTACACTATATGACCGCGATTACCTAAAACGAGGGGGAACGCACATAACCCAACATATTACAGATATTTAGGCCTAGTCTTCTTTGCATTTCATCTATCTGTTTGAATTTGTTCAGAGGCATCAGCGTGAAAGAGCTCTCAGAATCAAATATTATGTTGATGAGATGCAAATGGTGCAGGAAACACATTTGAGCTATTAATTCAGACTATTTTTTTTTTTTTTTATTATTTTATTTTATTTTCATTATGAACCAACTGCCAATTCATATTCGTTTGCAAAGTAGTAGAAAAAACTGACAGTGAAGTGAAATTATCCTAGCGGCAGAGTTGGTTATAAGAAAGAATGCACACTGGGTAGCACTCCGGATATTTTTGAACTAGCGTGAAAGTCGACCGAAGTTTATACCAAATAATTTTCGAACGGCTGGAGTGCGTTTAAAAATAGAGTGTGAAGGTAGAGTAGTTGTTGGTCACAGTGTCCTGACGGTCATCACTTGGAGTGCACTCTGGTTGCGCTATTTCTGAACGTATTGGGGCTTTGAATGGGGCGTTGCGGTAAATGTCATGTATAAAATCCAATGACGATAAAATCACGTAAAACCCGGTAAAAACCGCGGGGCGTTTCTCAACCCAGTCTCTGAGTGGGGTAATTTGGGCGTACTCTGGGCCCGACAACTCTCGATTTTTGAACGATTCTAACGTAACGCTCCGAGTAAGCACCTGTTAATTTATGAACGGTTTAGAGTTACTCTAGGATTACTCTCACACCCAGAGTGATCAATTTCTAAATGCAAACCTGGGCTGGGATCACGACAAGTAGAATTCTACTAGAATTCTACTTTCATGACGTCAGGTTGCCTAGCAACCATCATGATTGCCTGTACTGACGGAAGACTGTACGCGATAAATAGGTCGCGGATGACGTCATGAAAGTAGAATTCTACTCGTCGTGATCCCAGCCCTGGATTGCGTTCGAGAACCTGAGGTGCTAAGGGTGGGTATTATAAAACTGCTTTGACAGTTAACTTGAAGTTAACTTTTTGAATTACATGTAATTCTAGAAGTTAACTTTAAGTTAACTCTCAAAGTAGTTTTATAATACCCGCCCTAAGGGGTTGAAGTTAACTTTTTGAATTACATGTAATTCTAGAAGTTAACTTTAATTTAACTCTCAAAGTAGTTTTATAATACCCGCCCTTAGTCAGGACTAGAGCCGCTTTCCATTAACGAACTTTACGGTGCTTCTCACTCTGGTGCACCAAACCACTGTTGACACTGTTGTATCACTGGAACTCACCCTACTTTAAGCGTCGAGTTTTTCATCACCCATTAAATTGCAGGTACAGTACTTCAGAGGACAGAGGAGAGGAAAAGCGAACAGTTCAGCTGCGCGAAACTCTAATGCACTGGAACGCCTATAAACAGTCTGAGGCGCTCTAGCGCAGCTCAGGAGTGCTTAAAGTGCGTCACTGGAAAGTGACAACGCATTTTTACGCTGTGCGAATGGTTCGAACTACGGTTTAAACCAGTTTGTAGATGACGTCATCACTTATGAACGCAAGAAAATGGAAGGTTAAAACCACAGTCTTATGTCAACAGAGAACAAGCCATGAGTCCGGTTCAAACTTTTTTGAACCAGGTCCAATGTGACGTCACTGGTTCAACGCAAGGATGTACAGGTTCGAACTTAAGTGAATCGGATCGAACTAGTTCCACCGCGAGAAATCAGCTTTAGTGTCCGGTGCACGCACCAGTACGTGACAACCACCTTTCCGAACGTCGGAAACCGTGTGCGTGTGATTTTTATCCACGCTCCGCCTTTTCGAACGGCAGCTGTGTGATTTTTATACGACCACCATAGGCGTTTTCTGGCGTCTCAAATATTTCAAAACATTTTTCAAAACTGGTTTAAGTAATGTCGCCATAGAGCCGCTTTCCAGCTGACCATTTTGAGCACGCAATCGAGCTTTTGCGCTCCCAAATGCTTCAAGCGCGTGTTCGTGTTCCAGCCGTTCTGGGGTGGTATTCCGTTCACACTATCTAGTAGAAATGAATCGACTTTGTCGCTACAGAGATTCTGTTCAAGGGTTACGATCGAAAAAAAAGCTACTTTTCGCGTCAAATCGATCGCTCGGTTTCGATGTAGCAAGGGGTTTTGCCGTTTTGCCTGCATATGTAAAATCGCTGAACGGAATCATTTTGCTTGATAAAGTCGCTAGCGACATCGCCTCAATTCGGTCGCATTTTAGCGTGAACGGAATGCGGCCCCAGGGCTTCGAGAGCTGCTAACTTTTGCGTTTCAAACACAGAACCGACACTGTGCTGCACCGTGCTTGAAGCACACAGCTGGAGAGCGACTCATGACGTCATAATTTCTCGGCGCGAGATAATGGTTTGAAAACGTAGATTGGATTCTATTTCGAAACGGTTTGAACCAATTTTGAGGTGACGTCATGGGTTTGTCGTGGGAATGTAATTCTCAAAACAGTTTTTAACCAATTTTATAAAAGTGGACACGAGAAAACGCCTCAGGTTCTCGAACGCGACCCTAGTATTGACATTTGACACACATAATGACGGTTATTGTTTTTATATTTGAAAAGTTTTTTAAACATTTTTTCAAAAATAATTTTTTTATTAAACTGATTGAAGTAATGGCAAATTGAAGGAGATTTTTATTCGATAAAACATGGACGAATCATTTGACCTTCTTTGTTCCATGTCTCCAAAAATACGAGGCCGGCAGGAAACTTGTAACATAAACCATGGTAAGTTTCACGTTATTTTGTTCGATATCAAATTTATTACATAAATTTACTACAGTTTCAAGACTAGCTCTCAGAAAACACTTTAGACGATCTCTAATCTTTGACAAATCGTTTAGAAAAGAAGATTTGGCCATTGCAGAAGTTGATACAGAATCCTCAGAGAGTGTGTCAAGCTTTAAGGAATCTAGAGACTCAAATGATTTTGTTATTATCGATTCAGATGACGATTCGAGAGCGAAGCCTCAAAATCGTGAACCAAAAAATACAAGGATACAAGAGTGGCTGAATGATATTGATGATGATAAAGAGGCTGAAACTTTTTACAGTCAAGTATCAACGATATTTGGAGACGAATCTCAGAAAATTAACCATATAGCTGCTTGCTCTAGTTTCAATGACAATAATCTAAATCCTAGATTTGATGAGTTATTTATTAATAAGAAGAAACAATGCCAGCAGATAAACGAATCATCACAGTTTAGTTTACATTCTTATGTAATGGATAGCTTTGAAGAAAATAAAACTCCTGATGACATTCTTATTACTGACAATAAGAAAAAAATTATGCACAAGAAGAAAAGAAATTTACATTCAGCCCTACTGGATAGCTTGGGAAAAAATAAATCTTCTAGTGAGGATCCCATAACCGACAAGAAGAACCATAGTATCCAGGTAGATCAACCATCTGTTGAATCTCCATTTAGTTTACATTTAGACCTACTAGATAGCTCAGAAACAAATAATAATTCTAGTGGGGATGGCATGACCAGCAAGAAGAAACATAGTATCCAGAAAGATAGACCATCTGTTGAATCTCCATTCAGTTTACATTTAGGCCTACTAGATAGCTCAGAAACAAATGATAATTCTAGTGGGGACAGCGTAACTGGCAAGAAGAAACATAGTATCCAGAAAGATAGACTATCTGCTGAATCTCCATTTAGTTTACATTTAGGCCTATTAGATAGTTTAGATAAAAATGAAACTGCTCATGATGACAATGGTCCACAACAAATACTTGATAATAACAAAAAAGCTGTCCAGCTAAATAAACACAGGGGTCTATTAGATAACTGTAACATACAAAAAACAGCTAAAGTTATAATAGATGACAGTAGATTTGACGAAGAGAAGAAAATCGAAGAACTCAATGAATCATCATTCAGTTTAGGTTTAGGTCTAAGTGATAATTTAGAAACAAAATTAGAAAAAAATAGATCTCAGATTGTTAATAAGACTGAAAGCCTGAAACTTGATGATTCACCATCTAGTGTAGGTTTAGGTCCAAAAGACAGTTTAGAAAATAGTAAAAATCACATTAATAAAGAAAAAAGTAAACAGAAGCTTCAATTAGATGAATTATCATCATTACCATTGGGTTTTGGCAGAAGAGATAGTTTAGAAAAACAAAAATCTATAATTATTATTGATGATACAATTGATAACATAGAAACCCCTAAAAAATCTCCAGAAGTACTTCCGAGAGACACGTTTGTATCTGTAAGAAAAAAAAACAAGATCACAGAAGTCGTTCCCAAAACCCCAGACCTCAGCATAAAAGAAGCTTCTTCAATTCTGGATTCGATTTACGGTAAAAAATGGAGAACAAACAAGGATGAGGTGCTTTTGTCTTTGTCCGAACCAAAAAAAAAGCAGCCAAAACCTAAAAATATGGAAAAAAAGGTTGAAGCTCCCAAAACAGAGAGGTGAGCTAATGATAGTAAGTAAAATCCAAGTGAAATTGTTTTTTTTTTTAGAGTTTTGAAGCCAAAAATTAAAGGAAACTTGTTGCCTTCTAAAAAGCTTAATTTTGAAAGATTGAAAAAACCAGTAGTAGAGTCGCCTTGGGCTAAAAGACTTGAAGGCCTAGTCGATTCAGAGTCGAGCAGTGAAGAAAACAATTTGAAAAAACTCACAGATATAAAACCATCCAAAGTTCGTTTAAACTTCAATGATAGTCCCATTCCCATCAGAAAACCACTGAGCAGTATTAGGAATAAAGAAAACAATCCTCAAAATACAAAGAAGAGAAATATCAAAAAAGCTTCCAGCAGTTCGACTAGTTTCAGTGATGATGATTACCAGGTATTTTTATAATTCATAGTTTTAAGAGAGAAAACTTGTGACAGGTTTAACAATACCTTTTCTACTCCTATGGAATACATAAAAAATGCCTTTTTACAAGGATTTCAGGATTTTTTGGGTAGCAACTCTGTTGATGTTATTTTTTGCTGATTCTACAATATCTGATATAATGTTCTTCATTATTGTTATTATTGTCCATTCCATCCATTTGTAAATAGGAATCGACAAAATACGAGATACTCTCACGCTGTTTGATGACAGAAGTGTAAAATTGTGTAACTGACGAAACTGTTGGCTTAAGAAAATTCTTCCATTGGCTTATGATTCATAAGTCAACGGGTAAAAATAATGACTACTATAATTCAAGGGAAAATCGTTAATAATAGATATATTATTCCAAGGGGTAAACCACCCCTGAGATTTTGGGAAATTGGGGGAATTATTTCCCCAATATTGCCTTTATTTCCTATATTATTCAGTAATTCCCGACGTTGCTCTATAATTCCTTTATATTTCCGGTAATTCCCTAATATTTATATAATTCCTTTGTAATTTTTGTAATTCCCCAATATTTTTCTATATTTCATTTATTATTGTTGCGAAAATGCATGGAAAACCCAGCGAGAATTCTAAGAAAATTACTTGTTTACGTCGGACAGTGCGTTTTTTTCTGGTAATTCCATTATATACGATTCAATGTTTTTCTAGACAGATCCGGAGTGTGATTTCGACTATAAATAGCGCGTAGTAATAAGTTTCAGTTGAGTTTTAATCCGGTATGTTTCGATAAGTGATAAGCTGATTTTGTAAAAAATCAATCAGCTTAATACAAATTACGTTGTTACTGTTTGTGAAATGAGTTTTAGGAAACTCAGAATCAGTGACAATTTGGTGTCAGAAATGCGATATTTAGTAAGATAATTGGTGCGTTAATTTGAGCTAATATTCGGAAATCGCATAAGATTTCGACAATTTTCAAGGGATTTCGAATATTCGACTTTCAACTTTCAACGCCGTACCACTAAGGATTTCGAAAATTTCGATAAATTCATTGGGATTTCAGGATTCCACAAAGATTTCGGTTGAGATTTCGGGATTTTAGAAAGATTTCGGTTGGGATTCCGGGATTTCAGAAAGATTTCGGTTGAGATTTCGGGATTTCATAAAAATTTCGGATAGGATTTCGCTGTTCGCGATTTCGAATGGTTTTCAGGATTTCCAAAGAATTTCAAGGGATTTTGGATGAAAACGTACAGCGATTTGAGTGAGCCGTCCCTCGGGCATTACCTAATATGAACTAATTAATGGAAAATTGGCAAGACAATTGGTGTATTAATTTGAACTAATTAGTTGGGGGAACAATCAGTGAACTTTTATTGAAATGGGATAGTCACTTTATTACCAGATTTGACATGTAAAAACATGCTCACAAACGGATTTTCTGGAAGATTCTATAAACTTCTATAGAATTCTATTTGGAAACTGTAAGTAATAGCTTTGTTCCAACGCATCAAGAAACCGTATAATGTACTGTCACGATTCTGTGCAGAGCCAAAAATTTGAGCGCAGAACCCAAAATTTGTATGCACAGTGGTTTTGAAACTGTTCATGGGACAGTTTTTAACGTGTTGGAACAAACCTAATACAGGATAAGTGACTCGAAATCGAAAAACCAACTCACAAGCGGTTTTTCTTGTAAATTCCAGAAACTTCAATAAAAATCTATTTGGAAACCCTATGTGATACAAGAAGACTTCATTATTAATTTCGATATCAAAAAAAAAAGTCCACAGAGTGATTTTTCTAGAACATGCCGTTCTATTTTATGCAAGATATTTTATAGTCAATACACGACAGCAAACCGACAGCAGCCGAAATGGAGCAAGTTAATCAAATCTTGACGGACTTCATGAAAAATTTGAATGACAAGAGACAAGAGGAAGACCGAAGACAAAAGGAAAGACTAGAAGAAGATGTTCAAAGACGCAAAGAAAAACAATAAGAACAAGACCGGCTTGCAACACTTTTACAACAACAAGAAGCCTGAAGACAGAAAGAAAAATAAGAAGAAGTCAGAAACAACAGGACCAGCTTGTAACATTTTTATAACAATAAGAAGATGGAAGACTGAAAGAAAAACAAGAAGAACAGGACCGGCTTCAGGAAAACTTTAGATTCCAGCGTGAATGGATGCAAACCATAATCTCTGAGAAACAAACTAGAGTGGAGAAAATTCTGAAAGTACAAACTGATAAATTTCCATCCCAAAATTTTTATTTTGTATAACATGACAAAAATTGTCTAACTTGATTGGCTACTGAACGAATTAACGACAAACGGTGTAGTTGAAAGTTCGACAAGGTGGAACGATGCAGTTCAGAAAGGAAACGACGAACAGGGGAGTTCATAAATCAGGCTTTAGAGTTTAGTTTACGAGTTAATTACAAATACTAAAGTATATTCACAAAACTGGCATTGTGAGTGTCCGGGTGCTCTTGTTACGTTACATGCGCTAATAAATTCCACAATATTTCCTCCATTATTCCTAATAATACCTCGATATTTCCTAATAGAATCTGGATTTTTCCTCCATATTTCTTGATAATACCTCTATATTTCCTTATATTATCCTGATATTTCCTGAAAATACCTTATATTGCAAAGTATTTCCTTATATTTCCCCATAGTACCTGCTATTTTCCTGCATTTCCCCGTATTACCACATATTTTTCTACTGACGTTTCATAATAGCAACTTTTCGATTGTCATTTCAGTTTTGAAACGACATTCTTTTAGGCACTGAGTGCGTGAAAGTTACTTTTAGGCACTCAGTGCGTAAAAGTGACTTTTGAATGCGTAAAAGTGACTTATGAGTGCGTAAAAGTAATTTTTAAGCACTAGTGCCTAAAAGTGTCATTCATTATTCAGAAATAAAAAACACACTAAACACATATTTGAATTTTGTTTTGTATTTATTATGAATATTGAAAATGGAATTACTGAATTGAACGTTTGGGTTACTCAAAACAGAACTTTGTGTTATTACCTACTTTCTAGGATTTTAATTATTGATGTCGAATTTTGAAAAGAAAATCGCATGAAAAGTGTCAGGTGTCAAGTAAAAGCAGGTAACAAAGATTTTGGGTGTAATCGACTTATTCACATGAAATAAAATTGTGTTTTTTTATTATAAAATGCCAGTAGAAAAAATCTTGTATACTATACGTTACGAAACGATGTCTTTTAGTCACTCGACGTGTTGTCCAACTCGGCTTTGCCTCGTTGGACAATTTTCACGTCGCGTGCCTAAAAGACGCTCATTTCGTAACTTATTGTATAAATAGCTATTCCCTAGGCTGGTGACAATAATTCCTAGGTGGTTTACCCCCTGTATTATTCCATAGGAATAGAAATAATATTAGTCCAATATCTAACGTCAATGTAGCTTCATATTTCAATAGGTATCTACAGATGAAGAATACGATAAGGAAATTCGGATTTTGGAAACTAAAAGGAAGAGCTTGATGCCTCAAAAGCAAACCAAATATAGCTTTTTGGAGTCATTGTCAGGTAAATATAACTTATTAGAATTCAGAAAAGAGTACAATAACAATAAACATAAATATATTACAGAATTTGTAGTTACAAACATTCACCTGCCAGTCAACTAAAAATTCATTTATTGAATAAATTGCCCTAGGATTTTTTTTAAGGCGCCCTTCAGTTGATTGATTGGTTTACTACTAAATAATTAGTTGATTCCAATTCTTTTGAAACAATGTAAATTAGATTCTTTGGAATATCACTGAAATTTTCCGTGTCAGTTTTCCAATTTTCTCTTATACCCGATATTTTGGAAATTTATGCTCTAGGTAGACCCTTGGTAGACCTCAGTGGAAAAAAATTCTGTTTGTCACACAAAGTTGACACATTCTACAGGCTATTAGTGCATGTTAATCCTAATTTCCTTACCCCTCTAACGGGGAAATATGAAGTATTGTGATTCTACTTGGAATAGATATATGGATAGAATTTCCCCAAAAGATAACTTCATACCGAACACAAATATGAAGCCGGATTTCAACTTACAAGACTTTCTACTATCACTCTCACACTCATAGACTCTCACAGCAAAACAGTAGCTATACTTGCTTATACTGTTTATTACCTGTACCTACTCTCTAATTAAGTATCTGATTCAGTGCCAGATGCCCTTAGGAGGTTCATTTGACCAGTTTCATAGGTGCTGAATTTACTTGAAAGGTCCACACACACTGTCAATTGCTTTGATTCAGACACAAAACCAGTGTTATTTTACTATCAATAAGTAATTCTGGTATTTTATTGAGAGTCTGATAAACTGCTCTTATTGTCCATTATCCCGTCCTGAACCCATTCAACCATGCAGATATTAACTATCCAAAAAATCTATTAAGATGCGCTTTAAGACATTACTGCAACGGTAAATGATTTGCAATGTTAACTCTATTTTGGTCCCAAAGTGGAGAAGAATGTTCAGAATAGGTATTCTCCATTGGTTTTTGTTTTTTATATTTTTGTATGTATTTATTTTCTTTATTCTACCATAGATAAATTTCGTTATACATTAGGTATACCTATACTTAATTGTTTTATTTTCTCAAATTTAAGGTTCAGTTCCATTGAATAAATGCGACATGTCCGCGCGTATTTTCCGCAGTAATTTCAAACAACACCGTCAAGAATTAGCCACTAGACTATTCAAATTATTTAATGAAAAAGTATTCGGCAATGCCCTTCTGCCAGACACTGAACTAGAATGGAACGATAAACTAAGAAAAACCGCCGGTTTATGCTACTGCAAAAAGATCACACACAAAAATAAAACAGTTGAAAGAAAAGTCCGGATTGCGTTATCAACCAAAGTGTTAGATTCCACTGATAGACTTAGGGACACTTTAGTCCATGAAATGTGCCATGCAGTCACTTGGATTGTTAATGAAGTTTCCGACGGACATGGAGCCTATTGGAAAAGCTGGGCGTTTAAGGCTATGAACGTTTTTCCCGAATTGCCAGCAATAAGTCGGTGTCACAATTATGCAATTAATAGCAAATATACGTATAGATGTACAAAATGTGGATACAGGTAAGAATTTTAGTAGTAGCCTTGTAACAAGTTTTTGACAATATTTCTATTAGCCAGATATTTTGAATAATAAAACAAATCGTTATTACCATAGCACATCCTTAGATTTGCTAATCATAGTGATGTTTTTTAAAAAAAACTTACATATTTCCAGTTTTATTCATTATTGAATCATACATTATATTACTCTATTCCAAGCTTTATTCTCAGCTTCAGCTGTTCGATTTTAGTAAAACTGAAACAAAAATTTAGGTTTTTCTTGTCTTTTCAGTTTTGGAAGACACTCAAAATCTTTGGACGTTGAACGCAAACGTTGCGGTCATTGCTATGGAAAATTTGAGGTTCTCATCAATAAAACTACAAAAAATGGTGAAACTAAGGCCGTCCTTGTTGGTGAAAAAAAGACCACCGGATTTGCATTGTTTGTTAAAGAGAATTATGCCAAATTCAAGGATCCAAGCAAAAAACATGGAGACGTTATGAAAATTTTGGGGCAGAAGTTTGCTGAATTAAAGGTGAAAAATTAGTACTTATACATGGTGTTTCAAATTTGCGAGTAAGTATGGAAATTTCGGTAACCATAAGAGATACACAGGGTCGGTTGAATTGGTGCAAAGTTACGCAAATTCTTTCTCTATGGTTATCGTGAGCCCCATACTTACTCACAGATCTGTAACACCCTGGTATATACACTGATATAAATAAGTACAATCGTTCAAATTCAACTATGGGGTTTTTATGTTTTTTTTTTTTATTGTGGGATTTATGTAAAAATCTGAGCCCCTGAGACTTGTAAATATTTTAAATTCTACATTGAGCAAAGTAGGTAAATAATTTTAAGTCTGACAAAATACTCAAAAGTATGTATTAGGCATTAGAGTTTATTTTTTTGTAAAAAAAAGAAGTTTTTTGTAAGATTTTTTAAAAACCTACAGAGTTTGACACAATTTATGTAATATAATTAGTTGTTGCATTGATAGACGTGTTTCTTAAATAATATTTTATTCAACTTTTCCAATTGAAATAATCTATTTGGGTATAGCACGGGTAGCGTTCAGAACTACTGTTGCATTGTTATGCATTGGCATAGTATCATCTCCTGAATCTGGGATGCTTATTTGGAATTGCAAAAGCACTACTAAATAGGTAACCATTGTCGCCAACAACTGAAAATAAAAGTATTAAGAAAAAAAAATTAGTCAAGTGTCACGTACGGATTTGAATAGGGTGCGGTTAACATCAAAAAATCCACACAGGCACATATCAGTTGGGTTCATCTCAGTTGCTCTTAGGAACATATTTAGCTGGAAATTAATGAAGGTATAAAACAGCTTAAATTTGACAGTCTAATAGCTACTTACTTCTTGCTGAGCATCTTCATTCATCCAAGTAAGTTCAACCAAAAGTATTTTCTTTTGGAAAAATATTCTCACCTAAAATTCCCAATACTAAACACATTTGACTATGAGTCTCCGACTACTTACACAAGTTGAAGCATAATGCGCCTCATCGCAAATAAAATATAACATTATTACAGCCGATATTCCCGTTATAGTCAGTCCAATGTCCTTAGTACCCAATCCGTCTTGGATTTGGGACAATAGTCCATAAATAGTCAAAGTTATGACAAAAAAGAGGTAGAGGCATAAGAATGTTAAAGCATATCCAAAAGAATTGCCAACGTTTCTTATTATTCTGCTTAGCATCATCCATAAAGATCTATAGTCTGCTACTCTGGTGGATGGGCCAATATTTCTCAAAGCAAACTGAAAATCGTCTGCCATTATTGTAGCAACTTTTCCTATAATGTCACAGTAAATGTACCAAGCACCACCCAGCATGTAGGTTATTACGTTTATGTAACAATAAGGGATTACCTAAGAGAAATCAATTAATATTCTATTTTGAGCCTTGTTTTCACAATGATAGTATTTTCATGGAAGTTGCCTCAATAGCACGATGGTTATTGTGTTGGGAAAACTGATTCGTTTCAAAATCAACAAGTGATTGCTCTCTTATTTTAGAAATCCTTAATAATGGTAACAAATTAAATGTTCTTTAGCTTACACACTGCTTAGTTTTTTTTTTCTATAGACATGGAACTCACTGATTCACTATCAAAAACTAAACAAGATAATCTGAGGGCATTATCTATCAAGTTATCCATGCGATGTCAACTATCATTGTAAAAACAAGGCCAATAACTACTAAATCCTCTTACTTGATGAACAGTAAAGTTAGCCATAGTCACGTGCGTAGTAATCATAGTGCCACATCCGAAAACTAACAAAGCAACTATAATAATTAGGGGTTTAGATCCGACATTCAGTGTAAGTCGCTTTTGGGATATTTTAGTGTAAATTCTTTCAAATGCCACCATTTGAGTGAGGACATTTGCTTGCTTTCTAGCCTCATATAAAGTAATAGGGTTGATTACTATTGGCAACAAATAGACAGTGAAAAGGTAGTCTATTACAGCCTCCTCGAATCTCCCTTCTTGGGATCTCGTTACGTTGATTTTGTACCATTTTAAATAGGCAGTGTAACCTACAAGTAATATTATTACGTTTCATATAAATAATTACAGTAATCTTACCTAGGACTATAACTAACAACACTACAGAATAAGCAATCCATTGCACAGTTGCATCAAATACAGTTCCAGAATTTGTAATAGGTAATATTCCTAATGTTCTTCCAGTGTAATATACAGGCTTTAGGGCTTGAAATATTTGGCTTTTGGTCACGTTTTCTTCGTCAAATGCTTCCATAACTTCACTGTTTTTATACACTGGCGTTGGAGCTGGAGCTACTTTGGTGATTGAAGTTTCCTTTCTGTTTTTGTAAAACGGCATAGCACCTTCCAAATAAACATCTTTCTGATTTCTGGCTTGAAACGAGTTATCCAAAACGCTCATCGCGGCATTAGGAATCGGAGTGGCAGGTGTCTGATTGTACATTTTGAATGTGATTCGGTTATTGACCAAAATCAAGGGATACGTATCTTTTATGTGCAAAAACTCCAGAGTGAAGATTTTAAAAAGCTCCTAGAAATGAAACAAGTAGGCCGCTAATAGAATGTTCACTGAAAAACTGCAGCAATTAGCCTATAGACTCGTTCAAAATTGATGAAAGACGGAATATTAATAATTGGGTATTGGAAAAGGAGGTCAAGTTCTCGGGAGGCCATTACAAAAAGAGTCATTAGTTACCTGGAAAGTGTAAACGGATTAAAATATAGATGAGGTAAGGGTTTGACACGTGGCCTTTACCTGGTTTAGAGGATACAAGATAGGTCAAGATGTTTTCGGGAAAACTTGGACAAAGAAACAAACATTCTAAATTTAGTTATCCATTCATTTAAAATTTTATAAAACAAAAATAAAACAGCTATAAATCAATTTTAGCACTGAGAAAAATAAATTTATATATAATTATGTATGTATGTACAAAATACTTTCACTTAGGCTTAGATTGTTCTGGTTAAATAAATTTTTATGCAACTAAGCCTTAGAGATCCAAAAATTTATATTATATACATTAAAACTTGAAGGTGCTTCTAGACTGGCGGGAGACACCCCATAACGTTGTCGAAGGTCTAGACGAGTCTGGGACCGTCCACCGTTACAAATAGACAGGATGTAGGTATATAAAAACCAGGATGCACTATGTATATAAATAGAAACACATTTTGATACAGGAACATAAATATTTTACACAAGTTACGATTCTTTAACAAAACATTCGTCCAAGAAATTTTCCAATGAATGATATAAATGAGGTCGTACCGCACTTAAACTGTGATCTTCATCAGTATAACTCTGAAATAAATAAAAATTTAGCAAAAGTACCACCATTCCATGCTAGTCTTACCAATTGCCTAAAAAGTACATCATTTCTTTCAAGTACTTTAGCCCACATCATTGACTGTTGGTAATGGACATTGTCGTCAAAAGTACCATGGATGAGGAAGTACTCTTTGTTTTTGAGACCAGAATATTTTGTGAGCAATTGTGAGTTGGTGTAGCCCTCAAGGTTATCTGACACTGTTGGTAGACCCATGAATCTTTCAGTGTAGATAGAGTCTAAAAGAAAATTAAGGAGATTTTAATGTAGGGTCCCCCTTTTCTTATAAAGGACTTTGGAAAGGACCTAATTTAATCAATATGCTTGTTCCGTTTCCAAAACTACACCAAATGATTCATATCGGCTTGCACCCAGTAGTTTTCCGGGTCAAGTGGCGGTGCTGAACACCACAATTGAAAAAAATTGAAGCATCAAAGAATATAATTCTGCAGTCACAAGGCACCGATTATCGCACTGGGTAGATTTACTAACTAAACAATGGTGTTGCCCTTGACAAAAAGAAAATTCACCATCCCGAAGGTGAAGGTCATAGAAGTAAAACGCCAGTGTTGGCAAGACTTGATGAGAGAATATTGACCATATTAGACAAAGACATGTGACAAAACCATCGTCCAAACTATGGGAGGAAGTAGGATCACACCTGAAAAAGCTCAACTAGAGAAGCAAGACTCGTACAGGATGTAGACTTATGGGGCATTTAAATACACTTGCCCAGGCCTGGCAAGCTACAGTTATAATTTTTGGTAGCACGACCATGTCCAACTGACTCAAATTTCCTTAGAATCACTACAAATGTGAATTAAACACATTCAAATCAAATAAAGAATAAAATTTACCCAGGAGAGTTACCATATAATCTTGGATCAAGGATAACACAGGGTCGTGATTTTTATAGAGGTGTATATATCATCTCTACTGTCAAGTTCCAAATGTCACTTTTGACTAATCTTACTCCCATTTATTTTGCTGCATTCATTCTTTTTACTGAAGCAACGGTTCAAGTGGTTCCTGAAAATTGTAAAGTTCGAACTTGCGGCACCGGTACAGTACTGTTTAATCCCACCGACGTGCGTAAAACATGCTGGTCGCAAGAAGAACTCGCCATTTTAACTGCTCGCATCATACTAGAGGACGTTATTCCTGATTCTAAATTAATAACCGTAGAGTGCAACGAAGATGTCGACGATATGGTTCATTATTTCAAGGTAAATTTTAATGAATCTTCAAACCATTATGCAATAACTTAATTATTTCAGGAAGTAATAAACACAATACGAACCAAAACAGCAGCTCGCAAACGTCACTTAATGCTCTTTGCCTTAACGGATCTTCTAGGAGGTTTTCTGCATCACGCCTTTTTACCAATGGCCAAAAAGGCCTACTACTCGGGCGCTGTTGATTATTTGTACATGGAAAAACTGATACAGCTTTACGAAGAAATCAAATGGTTTCTACGTACCAATGGGCAAGGTTGGACTAAACCGATGTTAGTGGACAGTGTAGTAAGAGTGCCTATAATCGAAATAGCTTCTATTACAGCTGATAAAAATAAAAGTTGCCATAAAGTCATGTTCTATGAAAAAGAGCCTATAAGTGGCAAAACCAAAAGATCTACATTAGAAAAAGGTATTTACTTTCCTTTACCGTTTTTCGATGCTAAAGTCCGACCTACAGCCATAGCCCTTCCCCTGAAACATTTTGCGTTAAGAAACATAGAATCTAAACGAGCATCTTATATTATCGTAAAATACTTCATTTTAGCAGAGAAATGCTTAAGAGAAAAGAATGCTAAACAAGAAATGGTAGATACATTCCATAATAACCTATACACTTGGATTGAGAAAGATGTTTTACCAAAATTGTCAGATGAAAAGTTTTATGCGGCTTTTGGAGGAATTTTAAGGCTACAAGATACATTGAAGGCCTCAGGAGCTAAATTAGGCAATAAACCGTGTAATACTGAGGAAGGCGAAGAAGAAGTGGGAGCTGTTCCAGGAGTTGGCTGTAACTCCAGACGAAATAAGCTACTTTTGATAGCTATGCTTGTGGTTATTGTGGCTTGGTTTACAATTGGCACTTGCTTTATTTGTTATAGGATGAAAAATACTAAAGACGAAGATAAGGATGATTATCCAGATGAATCTTTTATTAAAGAATCTTCATCAATGTCATCAAAGTGGTCCTCATCCAAAACTAACATCACATGTAAATGTCCCGAGTCTATGACTAGCGGAAGATCTCAAGAGTTTTCTTCTACAAGCGAATATGACACGAAAAAATCGAAAAGAAGAAGAAAACCTAAAGGTTCTCCATGTGTGTGTCCTAGCAGTCCTGCAATTATAGACACACAACATTCAATGAAAGTATTACCGCCTATTGCTGAAATGTCTGAACAATCCCAACAATTTTCTAAGAAATTAGGCTCGAAACAAAGTTTCAGGAAAATATCATTTGCTGAAGCATCTAGTAGTGATGGTGGTGGTAAAGTGTGCGCTCCACCATGGGCTCAGACCAATAAAACTATACCATGCCCAATTCTCTCTGATAAGAGCATCATTTATTCTGGCACCAGTTTGTCAGCTAAAAGCAATCAGACATCCAGTGACAATCCATCGTCTAAAGATAACATTCAAGAAAGATCGTCTAGAGATAACATTCAAGAAAGATCGTCTAGAGATAACATTCAAGAAAGATCGTCTAGAGATAACATACAAGAAAGATCGTCTAAAGATAACATTCAAGGAAGATCATCTAAACATGAATTTGGTGGACAGCCTTTAGCTAATTCAACAATGATGAGCGATTCTGCACGGAGTAGCATACAACAAAAGTCCTCCAAGGAACGATTTTCCACACCAATGAAAAAAGTTAGTCACAGTGACACTCCAGAACAGTATAACACTGCAGAACAGTATTTATTCGAAGATGAAGAATCTAAAAAGCCTACTAATCAAGATACAATGTACTATAGCTACCATGCTGAAGCATGTCATTCAAGCATGACTGGAGATTATCATAGACCGAATCCGAAGAGTCCTTTAATTTTTGGTTATGACTTTCAATCGACAAGCTCTTCTGAATTAAGTGATGATGATTAGTGTATTTTTTAGTCAATAAACTAATAGAAGGCATTGAGTTTTCTTACCATATAAAGTCCAATCAGTGACAGGAGCTACAGAAATACCACATTTAAACACATTATCGGTGTCTGTAGCCAAAGCCATTCCAGCTGCGTAACCCCCGTAGCTCCAGCCCCAAATTGCTGTCCTGGAAGCGTCTACATAGGGCAGCTTTTGCTGGATAATTCTATAATAACATCAATAGGTTTTAAGGAAAAAGTTTTAGAAAAAAATGCTTACTTGGTAACGTTGATTTGATCGACTACCTCTACAGTGCCCAATTTTCTGTAGCCCGCAAACAGTAAATTGTTGCCTCTAAGCCCAGAGCCTCTTCCATCGATTGTGGCATAGATAATGCTTCTATTAGCTGCCAAATAGCTGCCCCAGTCCAGGGAGAACTTATCGATTACTTGGTAGGTGTCTGGTCCACCATACCTGGAATAATTTTTCCAGAACTTTAGGGTGTGGACTTTTCTGTGTGACTTTTGAAAAACAAAGATTCACAATTTCATCGTTTTAGTAAGAAGATAGCTACCTTATGATTTAGATTTTGGAAAACTTTGAAAGGTCATAATTTTTTTTCTATTATAGATAGAAAGCTGAAATTTTCAGCGTTTCTTACTCCAATAGAGGACTTCAATCCCTGAAAATTTCAACTCATTTGGACTTATAGTTCCTGAGATAAAATCATGTTAAGCAATTTGGGGTGATTTATCAATTTTTCAATTTTTCTGAGTATTTTTTTTCATAGATTTCGGCTTCAAATCTGGGAATAACCTGGTGTATGGAGTTTGGAGAATCTCAAGTGATCATTGGGACACAAAATCTCAACAAACAAAAATTTGAAATTTCATGGTTTTAGTAAGAAGGTAGCTACCTTATGATATAGATTTTGGAAAACTTTGAAAGGTCATAACTTTTTTTCTATTATAGATAGACAGCTGAAATTTTCAGCAATTTCTATTCCAGTAGAGGATTTCAATCCCTGAAAATTTCAACGCATTTGGACTTATAGTTCCTGAAATAAAATTGTGTTAAGGAGTTTACGTACCTAGTCAACAAATATTTTAGTAAAAAATCAAAATCAAAGTTGCAAGCAAAGCTTGAAGCAAAAAAGTTAAAATACGCATAAGAACACATTTTCAAAATAAACTTGCTTGGCCACCACGCCATAGGAACCCCAATAGTTACCGTACGTCACACCTGTTTTTGCCATATGAAACACCCCCTCGCTCCTCATACGGAAAGTGTCAGATTAAAAATGACGAATGACATCTCTACAAGTGCTAGGATCTTCTATTCGAGCCCCTTCAAAGACACTCGAAACTCAAAACACTAAGCTTAAAGGGCCCAACTTCAACTTCTGAAGTCTTGAATAGAGGATCCTAGAGTCCTTGCGAGTTGACAGGTAAGAAAAACAAGTTTGAGGAGGTAGAAACTGGAGTTGGGTGCCTCATCAAAAAATATATAGTCTGGCAACTCTGAGAGGCGCTATTTGATTTGTGCCAATTAAATATGAGGTTACCCTCTAGCAACTTTAAGACTCCCTATTGGCTCTGCAAATTTAGTCAAAATCAGATTCCAGATAAATCACTTACACATTAACTAGCATAGGGTATTTGGTATTCCCACTATAATCCATATTAGGAGGCAATTTCAACATAACTTTAGCTGTAAACCCATCAGCAATTTCAAATTCAAATTTCTTCTTATTATGAACAGTTTTTCCGCCCAAAAGGTCCGCTAGATCTTCGTTGGTAGTCCAAACAGCTTTTTCAGTACCATTAGCTGAAATTATTGAAATAGATGGTATGTCCGGACCGTTGCAAGTGACTACTAAGTAGGACGAATCGGGATTGGCTTCCGCAGAGTTGTAAAGGCAAGGGTTGTTGCCGTTTTTTGATTTTAGGGGGCAAGTGAGACACTTGATGTTTTTGGATGTCAGTGAGACTGAGTAGACGTGCTGGATAGAGGAGTCATTTCGGGTTGTGGCTGTGTAGAAGCTGCAACAATATTTTTACAAAACAAGAATATCTCAGAAATTTTTTTACATTAAATTATCCTCATGGTTCCAGCCGAGAAGTTCTGTAACCACATAAGTACCCTCGGTGAGGAACTGTTCTGTGGATCCAGCTTTGACATCAAGTAAAGCCAAATGTCTGTATGAATTTCGAGCGTTTTCTTCGGGCTTTGATAGTATCAAGGCTATTTGGGTTCCGCTTTCTGAAACCATTGGAGGTACGAACATATCAATCCAACCAGATGATTCTGCTATGGTTTTAACCTAGAATTTTTAGTGTTAATTTGTGAAGCTTTAAAAACTTATCAACTTACAATTGTTGGAGTACTGGATAGTTGTTCATAAACGACTATATCTGCATGATTTTGTACTCTATTCATCCATACTGCTACTAAAGAATCATTGGCCGCCCAAGTTACTGCAGTAATTATGTGCTCTCTGGAATAAATTTACTAAAGCGGCTTTTTTTTGGAAATTTATTATCACTTACTCATTTTCTAATGTGGTTGTTGTTTGTAATTTGGTTAGCTCTGTAGAAACAAAGTCGTAGACAAATAGTTCTACAGTTGGATTGGGAGTTCCAGCCTAAAATCATTAATTTTTGTGTTGTTTAATGCAATGTTCCACTAGAGAGCCTTACATCAAATTCTATATTTGATAGTTTTGGTCCCTTCAAGGGCAATAATTTGTTTCGTAAGGCTTCTCAGGTGGATAATACGGTTTTTACCTTTGGATATTTAACAATGTTCGCTCTGGGATATTGGAAATACAAGCTTCCAGGCTCTCCATATATTGGTACCACCATAACGTTAACTTCGGCGTCATTAAATCGAATGAAGGCCAGCTTTTTCCCATCGCCAGAAAACCAGAGAGCTTTGTTTGAACTGAAGACTTCCTCTAAAAAATAAGCAGTGAACATGTATTGTATATCGTTTGTAATTTTCAATTTAAATCATACCTTCATAAACCCAATCAGGCATTCCATTGAAAACAAATTCGTTTTTGCTAGTGCTTGTTATGGCAACAGCTTGGGTTGATTCAGCAGCGTTTTCCTTATAGTAAATATTGTTTTCGTAAACATAAACCAAAGCGTTTCCTATAGAAATATTTATTAATCGTCGTCAATTTATTATTAAATTAGTTTACAAAACACTTACCAATTGGTGCCCATTCAACTAAAAACAAATCAAGACCAGTAATGGTATCATCGGCTCTCAAATCTGTCCTGGAGTTAGTGGATAAATTTATTATGGTGTATCGCGCCCTAAAACTATGTCTGTAAAGCTGTAAAATTAATGTTTGTTAATTAATAATTGATTTAAGGTAATTATTTACCTTTTGGTAGTCGTGAGCTATTAACAAATATTGTCGGTCGGCTGATATTGTGAAATCGAAGGCTGTTAGAATAATCTGCAAGGGAATTGTCGCAATCATAACTCAGTTGGCAATGAAATTGCATGTGATAAATTGCAAATTGTTAATATTTTATATAAATGATTTACGAAATTATCCACTTACACTGTCATTGGAATACAAAATGTTACTAGTCTGTCCAGTGGCTAAATTGTGCAATACTAAATTCTTATCGGTGTCTCTGTATAGAAACTCGTTTCCTGAAACAAATTTAATGAAAATTCAGTTACATATCTATAAACCTATACATACAGGGTGGTTTTAGGGTATTTTAAGGTCGATTTAAAAAAAACCGCTAATTTTTGTATTCAAGGGGGAAACTTTTTCAACTCATCGGTATTTCGCTATATAGGGTGCACCGCCCTGGGTGGGGTGACTTTCACCCCTGTTTTTTAGATAGGGAAGATGGGTCGATTGGTACCTTATTGTTTCCAAAGGTATTTTGATTCTCGTCACAACTACATAGGGATTTTTTTTTGAAAATCGAATGATTTATAAATGTTATTACATTTTTTATGTTCAAAATTAATTGTTTATTGTTACGAAAATGGTACCTGGCGTCAGGATAAGTTTATTTTGGGTATGTTTTTGCATTTGACAACCGCAGACATCCTGAAATTTGGTACCTACTGAAAAGTTTGTACTATCCAATCTCAAAGGTCCAAAGCCCGTCTCCATAAAACTCACATAAGCTACACAAACTGACAGAAAAAAAGGGAATACCGAACAAATTATACAGGGTGGGACACGAAAAACTTCCCACCCAGAGTTTCTCAGGTATTAGGTGTTTAATCAAAAATCGCTTAGACAGGTCAATTTTTGTTTTTTGGGGGATATATTTTATTGGTATTTTCACCCCCTACCTGTCAACTTCTAAGTGGGGGTAACAGGTACCCTCAAAAGTTCAAATGGAAAGAGGGGTCGAGTGATACGTCATTTGGTAGCTATTTTCATTAAAGTTATATCCCCAAAGTTTTAAGTTGCTACTATTTACGCTGGCGAAATGGCGGCATGTCAAAGTTAGGATAAATGCGTTTTTTCGATAATCTAAACTGTATAGTTTTTACCTGTCACACCTATGCGTAGGTAACAAGTAAAAACCACACATTGATTTTTCCTAACTTTGACAAGCCGCCATTTCAACAGGGTAAATAATAGCAACTTAGAACTTCGGGGATATAATCTTAATGAAAATAGCTATCAAATGACGTATCACTCGACCCCCCTTTTCATTCGAAATTTTGAGGGTCCTTGTCATCCCCACTTAAGGGTTGACAGGTAGGGAGTGTCCCCGAAAAAAATTGACGTATTCGAGGGATTTTTAATTAATCATCTAACACCTGAGAAAACCTGGGTGGGAAGTTTTTCGTGCCCCACTGGGAGCTGCATTGGAATTGTACAACCACACCAAACTTATGATAAATACCTCGTCCGAGAAACTTTAGTCAACTCACAAGGAATTATACCAGTCCGAGTAGCCAACCCCTACCACAGAACTATTCAAATCAACAAGGGCGATGTCATAGCCACCTGTGAGCCTGTCAAACGGATTTCAGAGTGTGAAGCTGAAGAACATCAAAGAAAGAGAGGAAACAAATCATCCAGCGACATTCTAAGACAATTCGAAACATGTTGATAACATATTTCCTCTACAGAACTAAAGAAGGCTCAATAGTTCCTTTGTGAGAACAAGGATATCTTTGAGGGTAAAAATGACGAAACTGGTAAGATGAACACCAACTAGAAGACTTCCCATGGCCAAACAACAAGAAGAAGAGTCATTAGTAGAGAGTATATTTGCAGAGAGAGTTTTTGAAGTCTTCAAATCTGGGGTCATTGCCAATTGCCCTAATGATAAAACAAGATGGATCTACCAGATTTTGCGTTGATCACAGAAAGCTTAAGAATGTCACTAAGAAAGACAGCTACCCATTACCCAGAATTAACGCTGACCTTGGCAGACTCAAATTGATTACTCTACTTTGGACCTAAAAAGCGGATACTGGCAAGTGGACATTGACGAAAAAGACAAAAAGAAGATAGGGTTTTCCACGGGAAGTGGTTTTGTATCAATTCAAGGTAGGTAATACCTTTTGGACTCTGTAACGCCCCCGCTACTTCTGTATGGAAGTATGCCTTGTCTCTTGGTGATGAGAAAAACTTTTAATGAGCACCTACAAAACTTACAAGAAGTATTTACTCGTAAGACAAACCTCCGATTAAATGACAAGAAATGTTCACTCATCCAACAGCATGTTGATTTGCTTGGCCACGTAGTTTCACCCAAAGGAAATCATACTGACAAGAGAAAAATCCAAAGCAATTCGTGAATGGCCTCGACCCCGGGACAAGCATAAACTCAGAAGTTTTCTTGGCCTTTGTACATGGGTACTATAGGCGATTCGTAGAAGGATTTGCTGAGGGTAGCAACGCCGTTGCATAAACTTATTGAAGAAAAAGCTATTTTTGATTGGACCACTGACGGTGAGGTAACTTTGGGGAGGCTAAAGGCAGCTCTATGTTCCAGCCCTATATCAGGCTACCAACGGGTACATCAAAAATGTATTTCGGACACAAGTAGAGTGGTTTCACAGCTATCAGACCAATACCCACCTTTACTACATAAAAACCCCTTCCAGCACAGCCATCATAACACTACCCACTTCCACTGTAAACCCTCTTCCGTGAAGCTCCCACCCTGAGGAGGCACTTTTTACACACCTCCACTGTAAACCCCCTTCCATAAAGTCCTCCATTAATCTATTTTTAAAAGGCCCCTACCCTGAGATGGCACTTTTTATATCCCTCCAATTTCTTGAAAACTAAAGAATATTTAGCCAATTCTTCCATTTGTATTTCTCAATTTTGGGGTTGGGTCAAATCCCTAAAATTTCAGATCAAAGCCGCCGCCGATCTAGAGATTTTCCCACGATATCGAAAAACTTCCCAGAATCAAGTGCCCCCGTCTATCAGACACATACCCACCTCTACGTAGGTAAATCCGTAAATCGTCTACCAGATTCACAAGCAGAATGCTATTATTACAATAAAATCAATCCCATGGAGTTAAGAACACTATTGACGAATACAAATGCCGAAATTGTTTAAATATTCTTTAGTTTTCAGAAAAGTGAAGCAGTGGCGCATCCAGAGTGCAGGTCTAGGGGGGGTAAACAAAAATCCAATACACGCCTACTTACCGCCGCCGGAGGCAGCTTGCCGCAGGCTCCCCGAAATTTTTTTGGGCGTGTCACGCCCAAATTATTACCCATAATTTAGTTTACATAGTTTACAATCCAAAAATCGATGTTGAGGAAACATGATGTTTTTCTATCAATATTTTCTTAACATCGATATCAGCTTTCGATGTTTTATCCATGCCGAAACATCGATGTTTTCAGTGCGATGGGCATCCCTAGTTGTTAGATGTAGGGTAGATATGGGCCGAATTTATAGTCGTTCCTTTGGTCTTCATTGAAAAAATTTTGGAGGGGGGAAAAACATAAAAAACACAATATCTCGAGAAAGGACCACCTTTGCGACCTAAATATGACAACCCAAGGGCTTTCAGCCCGAGTTGGTGATGTTTTTAGCCCCCCCCCCCCCCATCCATGGGGGGAATTAATTTTACAAAAAATCGCTGAGGCTGAACCGCTGGTCCGATCGAGCTGAAATTTGGTACGTATATAGTGGAACGGGAACTCTAACAAAAACAAAATACGAGAGGACCCTATCTAGAGAGCAAAGCCCCTGGGGGGGCCCTAAAAAAAATTTTAAAGCCGATTCGGACGAAATTTGGAATGTAAATAAAAGGGGTCTGAAAAAGTTGAAATTTCAAGTTTCAGCCCTCTAAGACTTACAGGAAAGGTTTTAGCCGCTATCCCCCCCAATTTTGAAAAAGGGCGTGTAATGGGATATACGCGCCCTGTATTTAATTTCCCGAATTTTAAAAAACTAAAATTTCCATCGGATAGAGGAGCAAAAAATACGTCGAAAATGTCTCTAGGCGCTTTTTGCCCCGACGCTTCCTAAGCCTGCAAAAAAATAAAAAAGGTTTTTCTCTTAGACAATTTTGGAGACCTGACACGGCGCCACTTTTTCGCTTATAACTTTGGTGATTTTGAACCGATTATCTCGAATCTGGTTTCTTTTGAAAGAGCATCAAATTACCTACAAATTTGTTTCGTATTGATATTTCAGGTTGTTTCCGTCTCCGAGATATAAGCTGTCAAAGTTGAAATTTCTCTGAAAATTTATTGAAAGATTTGAGGTCGGTTTTCTCAAAAACGCTGCCCCGTGGGGGGTAACTCTAATAAGCTTTTTTGTAGTTGTCAATGAGATCTACAAATTCAAAATTCAAGTTGCTAGGATGGCTGAAAGTGTTTTTCAGGAACCTTCAAAGGTCGTGAGCTTAGAATGGACACTTGCTACTATGTGACAAGTAAGTCATGTCAATTCTAAACGTTGAAAGCCTCCTTGAGGTATTCGGCCCTAAGGGCCGGTTTCTCAATAGCAACTCACCACTGGGTTAAGCATAATTGAGAAACCGGCCCTAAGACACGTTTAACCTGGAGATAAAACCAACGCAGGAGATGAATCGCTATTAAAACCCACCCCAAGAGTCGCGACGCCGAGTGACAGACATTTGACGTCGATGAAGAAGACAAAAGTAAAAGCGCTGCTGCCATATTGCACAAAAACTTACTGTCGTTAGTAGTATTTTAATTGTTTTCACCATATATTTTCTATATTTTCAGTATAAAAACTAAAAATTTGGTTAGGTTAAAAATTTTCTAGTTTTCTGCGTATATGTGCCCCTGAAGTGAAGGGATATGAAAAGAGGTACCTTCAGAGTAGAAGCTTTTTGATTAGTATAGGTGAGTATTGCTCTGATAGCTGTGAGGTAGGTATTGGTCATGAACAGGTGCATTAAAAACATTTTGCTTGCTGGGAAGTTTTTCGATACCGTGGGAAAATCTCTAGATCGGTGTCGCCTTTGATCTGAAATTTTGGGGATTTTACTCGGGCCAACCCCAAAATTCTTCCATTTATATTCGTCAATTTTGAGGTTGGCCCGAGTCAAATCCCTAAAATTTCAGATCAAAGGCGCTACCGATCTAGAGATTTTCTCACGGTATCGAAAAACTTCCCAGGCTCAAGTGCCCCCTTTTTTTGTTGTATGTCGTTTCAGTAATCGATAGAAAGAACTCTTTTAAACACCACAAAAGGGTCATTGAATACTACAGTAGAGTACTTACCAAGCCCGAGACAAATTACTGCGTTACAAGAAAATAACTGTTAGCAATAGTCAGAGCAGTTGACCATTTCCACAAGGACCTGGTATAGACGAAAATTTCTCATTAGAACAGACCATGCATCGCTCAAATGGCTTCGAAACATAAAACGACCAGAAGGGCAGGTAGCAAGATGGTTGGAGACAGTTTTCAGATCAAATACCGTTCTGGTAAACGGCATAATAACGCAGATGCCTTATCCAAACGACCATTGAAACCCTTTTTATTGAGCAAACCTTCTACAACAGAAACTTCGCGTGAAATGTATTTAAATCCACTAAGAAGGCGGAACGTTAACGACCTTGATTCAATCATTAGCTCCTATTTTAATTCGGAAACCTATTTATATGACACGTTTATAGCGTGAGAAGGCGAAACTAATTCGAAAGAAGCCGAAACCTTATACACAGCATAGACATATCGCGTGCCGTTTACCTGATATAAATTCGTGTTGAAAATATTCGGTGAGCCCCTTTAATATTATTCAAGGGATGATAAAATCGTTATGGCAAATTCCTCCCTATACTTTGCTTTCTTGGGGCTAATTAATCCTGGTGACCTACATATATTTACTGCTACTGGCTTTTCCTTTTTGAGCCAAAAAATTTAATCAACATTATCGCTGCTCATAAATCTTTTAGATTTTTCCTTTGTCTTGATGTACCTGAGGCAAATTTTTCTACAAAAGATTTCACCGATAGACCTAATTCTGAAATTTCTCCCCACTTTTTCCATTAAGTAGGCATTATTAAACCACCCTCTTTAATTATAAATTTTAACTAAACTCTCTTTTTCCGCCTATTACAAAATCTTCCTTATAAATGAAATTTTAATACCTTATCATTTACTATGAGGTAGGTATTTTGTATGCAACCCAGTGCGTTCTTATTCTCCACTCACTTTACTTTCACCTTCCGGTATAAATTTATTGCAATCATTTTGCAAATGCGGGTCGTACGAATAATATGAATTTAATCACGAGTGTTGGTTGTTCGGACTGCTTTTGTAATGTATTTACGCATAACATTACCCATATAACCATATCGGATATCGTGTGTTTTAACTACAAATAGTCATGGTAAAACTAGGAAGTGTCATCACTTTTTCAGTCTATGGTCTAGATTTGGTGTTTGAGTTTGTAGCAACAAGAAATGAGAAATTGTTTAACCAATTTTCAATTTACTAGGAGTTATTCTGTCCTAACAGTAAAAATGTTGAGTCTGGTCAGTTTTGAGAAAGTTGAACATGATAATAGAAGACTATTCTGATTGAAGTTGAGTGGTTGAAGGAAAAGACCGAAAGTTTTCATTCTGAACTCTCAAAACGAGAATTTGGTTGTGAAGAGAACATCAATATGAAGTGGATCTCGAGAAACCGGTTGATCAAATACAGTTCTTGTGAGAAAAACAACACTTTAGTGTGATTAGTTTTTAGAATGGTTTTTCCCAAAAATAGCCATCCAACTAGTTTTTTAAAAAGCAATTTAATTAACATATTATTACATATTGCATAGTTTCTTACACAGATATAGTCTGCATGCATTATTCGATTTTACATAACATGTTTGATTTCTTATCTAAATGATATATGAACAGAATTTAATTCAAGCTAAGTTGATACGATTATATTCAGTTGGCTTGTTAATTTTACCTTTGCTATGCAATTTTCTAGAAAATTTACCTTTTTTCAAATATTGAACATTATTCGATATCGATCTTCACCGTTAGTTTTGCAACTTGGGTATTTACTATTAACATAAATATAGTCAACGAAGCAACCTTAAGCAATATTTACCGTGACCTTCAAACAATTATCACACGTCAACTCATTATAAACCAATTATTTTTGCCCTGTTCGACGTAATGGTAAGTATATGAACTTGAGAAGTCAATATACATTATATTGGTTGATGGCATTTTGTCTGCATAATCATTTTTGTTCGTTTATTTATTCTTACCTGTAACCCATGTTCCATTAAAACTTCTAGGATTATATTTATATTTTAAAAAGTCTTCTAAATTAATAGTTTCAGCTACTTGCTGCTCAGCATGACTATCGTGACCTGGACCGTTTTTCAGTAAAACTATGGCAGCTATTATTAGGGCTACAACTATGGCTCCAATCACCGAAGCTATTATCCAATTCCGTTTTTTCCTTTTGCCTTTTGATAGGAGCAAGTCCTGCAAAAAAAGATATATCAATTAATTTCAATTGGGTGCAGGAATATGAAGTTTTGAAGGTTATGTTGAAATTTTTAGAAGCAGATCCTAACAAGAAAGAAAAACAACAGTGAGCAGAAGTTTGCGCAATTATTACAAATAGAATTATTGCATCTTTTTTGAAATATGTATCCTGATTTAAATATTTGAAGTGGGAATGTTAAGCTGATGATATGTCTTTAATAATGATGAATTGGAAGGCATTAAAAAAGACAACGTTGGAACATTGGGTCAAATACCTATAACTATCACAATATGATGGTTAGTCTGCTTAGTGGGGACAGGAACTGGAACATCTTAGGGCGACGACAAAAAAAGCTTCCAATAAAGCTAAAAAACACCAAACTACCTGAGGATTGGAACCTTTATAGGTACCAACTCAACCAGCATAAAAAAGTCGTGCGACAAAAACAAAGAGATGCCTGTGGACCAGAACTCTGTAACGGATAGAGATCGTTATCCCTATCGCTATGGCACTTGCTGTCTTTTTCTCTCTTGTCGAAATCAATAGAGAGGAGACGTCAATAAAGAGAAAATATCTCTATCCTTTACAGAGTCCCAGCCTAGAGGACATACTGCAACGAAATAGAAATCTTTACGGAAGCGGCGAGACTTCAGAAAGCTCTAAATAAAGACCCATTTCGGAAAATTGGTATCCTGCTAACCTTCCTCTGGCAACTAGCGAATCAGATAATATACGAGGAAAAAATAGGTTGAGCAATTTCAGGCTTCTACGCCTTCAAAGCACCAGGTCAATTGTACCCAGACCAGAGGAGACGTCATCGCCTATGTGGAATCGCTAGGCTGGATGACGAGCTAAGGATGACCTCTCCTCTTGCAGAGGCGCACAATGGGCCTAATGTGGCCTAAGTGCTGTGGCATACCATACCACCTTACCATACTATTGTAGTAATCATGGGGGTTAATGGGTTTTAAAATATTTCCTTTTATGCCAATGGGTCTTAACCACTGTAAATAACGAATAGATCATTTTAGTCTTGCTGAATAATTCCCGGCATGCCCAGTATGTGGCTATTGCCTGGTCGGTGACTTTTTTAACCCAAACTTATAGATACAGATGGAAAAAAAAACCCACATCGAAAAAGCAAGACGCAATAGAGTAGGGCCTCTTGACTTTCTAAAAAAAAAAAATACAGCCACCAACAAGAAACAGAAGAACCGTCCACATTAACACCAAAAAAACACCTTTTGTAGGAGAAAGGTCGTGTAGAATTAGAATAGAAGCTGTAAATACTAATAGGAAAGTAATCAGATATAAGTATTACCAAAGAATGTATTACCTTGAATTTTTTGGGACTTACACCTCAATTGCAATTTTCACCAGAAGTTTCTTGATCTTGAAAAGAATTACTACACACTCTCTTGTTATTATTAGTCTATTTTACCTATCAAATTTTTATAATCAGCAGAGAGCGTGTATAGGTAATTCTTTTCAAGATCAAGAAACTTCTAGTGAAAATTTCAATTGAGGTGTAGGTAATTCCCAAAAAATGCAAGGTAATTATTATAGATCCACCTCAAACATACAAACATTAGAGATATACACTGATAAAGCATCCTTTTTAAAATTATATTTGTTGATTCTGGAAATATATAATATTAACATTTTAGGGTTAGTTAGCAGTTCAGGCAAACAAAGGCAGGAAAAACATTAGGCAGTCATTTTTCCAGTGTTATTCACTGGTTCTGAAATTATGTAATATAAGCACGTTTGCAAAGTAGGAGTGTTTGAGATTATGTGCATTTGAAATTCCTTGCTTTATAGTGCGGCCTTAAAAAGCATAAAGAATAGCTAATATTTCTATTTATAAGTCTAAATCCGATAACCAGGTGAATTAAATTGAAATTATTACTTCACACATTTTGTAATCTGACAAGGCTATCTTTCGTTGTTTGGTAGCTATGCGCATTTATGTCGTATGGTGTACAATTTTCTACTACTGGGGTGATGTAGATAAGATGTTTCTATCCTCTGGCCTCCTTTATTTACAAAATGAATCAAGTTTTTTTTTCCTGGAGTAGGTATCATGAGATTTAAAGACTGAGAGCTGAATTGTATGAGATATTATTGAAGATGCGACTCAGACGACAAGATTTACGGTGAAACAATTTTCCACGGCAAGAATCCAGATGAAAGTTTTTTGCTTGAAACCCAAGAACTTTACATGTATATACATTTGTACTGATGTGGTCCCCATCAATAAGTGTAACATTTACATTACTGCAAAACAACAAAAATAGCGAATTTTTTTTGTTCTGAAAATTATTCTTTCAAAAGCATCGGCGTCTGTTTCAGTAGAGCACCTACCCTTAGATGTGTTTAATTTACTAGCGAAAATTTTCTCTACAGAGGGAATGGTTTCTTCAAAAATCTCGCATGGGAAATTTGATATGATTTCGAATGCCACCACCTTACAGAATTTCAAAATATTTTAAATTAGTTTGAGGATGCCTGGATGATAACTGACCAATACACGTCGGATTTATTGTTGAAATTGCTGCGATGCGATGGTGTGTTGAAAAGTAGCACAGGATCTTTGAAAGCCAATTGATCTTCAGCGACCCTAAAATATGGAACTTTTTGAAAACGAACAGAGAATTGATGACACATACATTTTAATTAGGTACTTATATCAAATACAACACACTGACACAGAAAAATCAATCTCATATTCAGTCACTTCTTATTCCAAGACAGATCTTCATATTGTTACGAAGTTATATTGGTGCGGAAAATCCTATATGCCACCGTATATGACTGGTGCGAGGTAATTAGTATATTGACTTTGGGACATTGGTGAACTTTCTTTGAACTGAAACAGTAAACTTTATTTCTGTATGAACAAGTTTCTAAACGGGTATCTGGGTCCTGCTTATTCTTGAAACAGGGAAGCAACGTTCCCAGGAGAACGAGTCTTCCGTCTTTCTCAATGATATGCAAATGATAATATAAGTATCTAACAAAGACGAAACACTCGTTCTCTTGGGAACGCTTCTCCCCTGTTTCAAGAATAAGGACCCTGAAAAGTTCTAGAACATTCTACAGAGGGGTGTCCGCAAATAAACTGCATATTTGAATTATATTATCCCGTTAGAAATTTAAAAAAAAAAATGGTCTCAGTCACAATATTTTCGAGAAAAATGGCAAAATGTGATCCAATGCATCATCGAGATTCATATGAAAAGTTCCGTGTTATGTGAAGAATTTGAGAATTTGTGTTAAACAGCACTAAAAATGGTGAATTTCCAATGCAAATCTATCACACCAACAAAAGACACATTTTTTGTAGCTAGACTACAGATTGCTAGAGTGCGTGAGAAATTTCATGTCGAAATATATTTACCGCACGGTCACGGTAAAATTAATTTAAATTTTTTTTTTATACTACAATAATAAACATTAGAATAAAGTGATTAAAGGCACGAACCCTTAATAATGTTGTAACTTAGCTTGAGCTTATTTTAATAATAAATTTGAATCGCTTTTTTTAGAAATCTTGATTTAATATTTTTGGTATAGTCTTCCCAAAATCAGTTGGAACAAGGTAAATCACAACTGGTGACTGAATATTTTCATAAGAAATGCACTGCCACTAGTCAGCTACCAGTTGCAATTTATCATTACCTTGTTTCAATTGACCTTGGAAATACTATACCTACCTACTTCTATATGTGCGCAGTTTTCAAATGACTTCATATAAACTGATTATAGATTAGAAATGCACTAGTATGGTAAAAAGGGCATTAAAAAAATTTTAATCAGCTTAAAATATCCATTAGTTGAAATTTCGTTTCACTATAGAAAACAAAAATTTACTAATGCAGAAAACCTCATAAAACTAGGCAATAATTTTCTGCGGGTGATTTATGTAATTTACTTATCAAGAGTTTCTGCAATCGGAAGTAGGTAACCATAAAAAAAGCAAGCCTTTTTCCTATTAATACCAATTAAATAGCACAAATTCTCTAACCTAATTAAATTGTCGCTGGGTTCTCAATAATGAAGAAATTTATTTGTTCGTGCCGAGCTCTCGATTAGATAAATTGACTAAGTAAGTGAAATTGAATTGAATTATTCTTTCCTATGGCTGTTTACTTTATGGACTTGAATAGACTTATATAGTACAAAGTACATTATAGCATCAAAAGTAACACCTCACTAATTTAAATTGGTTCAAACTATAACAATTGAAAGATAAAAGATGTTTTTCTATGCATATATGAAAAATTCGTAAATAGAAGCCAGAAATAGACTTCAAAGGATTGCGTGTTGTTGAAGAAAAGGAAAAGAACTAGACTTGGTTATTATCAAATTAGTCCTTTATACGTTTTCATTTAGCCTCAATTGAATTACTAGACGATTTTTGCACGAAAAGTAAATTAAAAATGGATTTAGTTTTTCTTATACCTAAATACAATAATGAATAAATTAATTAAATTAGATTTGCTGTATTATGTAACAGTATTGAAAATAGAGAGATTTTCAGTTGCAAGAATAACGTGGTTATTTTGGTCTATTAGTTGTAGATATATATTCAATAGAGATTACGTTAAAATATGGCAAGTGAAAGAGAACTGCTATCTTATAATAAGGTCGATAGTTGAAACTAGGAAAATTAATTTTTAATTTAAAAGTTTTCGGTTACGATAAAACAGAAGACTATTGAAAACTTTTTGAAAAACATATTTCATAAACTTTGTTCAAAATTTCAGTTAAAGCTTTATCAGATAGTAACGGAATAACTGAAAAAAAAATACCTAACCATAAAGTTGATGTTGCTTATTCCTGTGTAAATAACCCAAATCAAAAGTCGATTATTTCAATATTGCATGGTTGAAGTTGCAATAACCGGGATAACCATGAAGTGACACGATCACAGCTTGAAATCCTTTCTCATCTTAATAGGTACCTCTATCCTATGTGTGAGGATAATTTTCAA